ATGAGTTTTTCACTGCCTGGTTTTTACTTTACTGATTAATTTGTGGCTCTCCCCTCCTTTCTCGCTCTTTCTCTCTCTCTCCCTCTCTCCCTCTCTCTCTTTCTCTCCCTCCCTCCCTCCCTCGCACTCTTTCACCCCTTCTCATGGTGCCTTGTCAGTCATTCAAGTCATTCGTTTTGATTTGACAAACACTTTATCACTTAATGTTATTTTGTGGCAATTTATTTTTTATTTCTCCATTTCATTTGCGCATATTTCCAAGCACTTGCCCCGTCTCTCTCTCTCTCTCTCTCTCTCTCTCTCTCACTGTCGCTGTTGAGTCGAGTCTTGTTAAGTGAAACAATTGAATTGTTAACCGAACAATAAAGTATTTTATTATTATTAGATTTTTGCTTGCCGTTCACCATTTGGCCATTGCCTTTGTCGCAGCCAACGTCAGCCTGACCCTAGGCCCTACCCCCTCCCCGCGTCTGCCCAAGTCCCAGTTCGGCGTTTTAAGTGCCTTACTTTCTGCCGCTCGTGCCCTCTCCTTCATTCTTGGCTGGCATTTGGTTAGCGTTTGGCATTTGGCGGCTTGTGGCTGTCTTGAGTAGATTTCCGACATATTTCTTGCCTCTTATTATTTGTCATTCGTATTATGTGACCTGTTCTTTTCATTTTTGTTCCTTGCCCTTCTCCTCTGTGCATCCAGCTTAGCTGCTCTTTCATTTTTGGATTCCATCTTTTTTTTTTCTTGTGTTCTTTTTTTGAAATTCTTGCGGCTGCTATGTTGTCGGTATTGCCAAGCCATTTAGGCTTTTTGAATTTATGACCATTTTGCGTTTTGTGGCCACCCTACCTCCCTCCAGCAACCATCCCTCACCATTAATGGCACACAGCCGCGGGGCAATTTCGGTTTTGCGACCTTTGGCACATACTCCACACAATGCGACAGACAGACAGACAGACAGCCAGGCGTGTGGGCAGTACGTGTGGCACTGTGCTTTGATTTACGACCCAATGCTGCGTGGCCCACAGTGCGATATGTTTTGACCCACTTTAAGTGAACAGCCCCCAACTCCAAGCCCAGCCCACTGTGCAGCTTGACTTAGTCTTTGGCTTATATTAAATTCGACACTGAAATTAACTTGACAACAGGTGCTATCGTTGAGGCTCAGTTCAGATTGATAAAGAAGAGCAGTGCTTGATGCGCCAGGCTCCTCAAGAGCTTAGGGCAATCTAGGCGAAAGCAATTCGAGTTTTGGAATCAGCTTAAAAATAGAACTATCTTTTAAAATGTATATATGTAAACAAGGGCTGCCACTTATGCTGTGGGCTACACTCAGTGTGACCAGTTGCAATTTGATATTTGCATTTGCACATTTTGACATTTTCCAGCACTTCGATGCTTACTTTGATTCGATATATTTAACTTTGCTGCAAAACTGAAATACATTTTTAAAATATTTTAAGCTTTCGCTATGGTAAAACTTTAGGTGAATCAATTAATGTATTTTTACCATAAATGTGGGTATTTTTTTAAGTTGAACAAAGGAAATAGAAAACATGATGATTGGTTTTGAATTTCTACGAAATAAGGTTCAAAATGTCTTGTCCTTTACATATGAGAGCCCGCCCACATACCTAAAATGTGCTTAATATAAACATACAAATTTTTGAGTTCTCGCGGACCTACAGACAGACGGATGAGCTTGAATATGTACAGCAAAGTTTGGAAACAGTTTTCACTGGTTTCTCCCTCGCTCCCTCGCCCACTCCCTCTCTTTTAAGTTGCCATAAAAACAGTATATTTCTATCTGATTCCATTTTAATTACATGCAGTGTTGCTAAGCAACACTGAACAAAATCAGCCACTGTAGCGAAAATACTTAGTATGCAGACAAAAGGCAGCTAAATTTATGACTCTACGTTCTTCAATTAACGAGAGAACGCGAACTTTTGCTGCTGTTAGCCGTATCCGCGAATGCACGGCGGCTTATGTGGCCCTGAACGTCTGGTGTCCTTAATTGTTAGTTGCAAAAGCTGCTTTTGGCCTGTAAATGCAGGCCAAGACGAGATTGTGTGGGTGGAAAACAGTTAAAAATCAAGCCATAAAATTATGCAAGGCCAATAGAAGGCACGGAGCGGCAGCATGTAGAAAACGAAGTAACGATCTCAATGATTGCTCCAACAGCTTATGCCACACAAACACATACACACACACACATACACATACAGCCATATATATGCATAAGGGATGTGTGTGAGAGAGAGAAATAAAAAGAGAAAGAGAGAGAGAGAGAGAGAGCTATTCGCTTGAGCGGGTAATCAACTTAAGAGATTAACAACTACAATAAAAATCAAAGCGGCCAAACGAATCAGTGAGATTCTAGCGAACGGGGTATAGGGAAAAGACAGAGAGGGTGAGAAAAAGGGGGACAATAGAAAGAGATACAGCTATGGAGATAGAGAATGTAAATATTAGGTGTCACAAGCCAGAGAAAATGGATGAAAAGGCAATCAACAGGCGCCAAAAAGCAGGCAACAAAATGCTCAGCTGCAAGGCAAATAAAAGCCGAATTAATTAAGGGTGTATTGAAAGCGCATTAAAGGCGAATTGAAGACGAATTGAAGGCGAATCGAAGGCAAGCGACTGGGCAATTTAATTGAAATGTTTAAAATGCGACACAGTGGAAAAGTGACAGCACACGCACACGCACACGCATATGCACACGCACACATGTGCCAGCGAAGTGCAAGGACGAAAAAGGAAGCAATGTAAAAAAAGGACCATGGCAAACGGCAAACGTCTCGCGTCGATACAAAGACAACTTTTAATGCCATTCAACAAAGTTGTTGTCGTCCTCTCCGTCCGTTGTCCTTGGACACACAGACACATGCACCCCGGACACATAAAAGGCGTAAAAAGGGCCAGCCACAAGCAGCAGAGCCAGACCAAAGAAGAGAGAAGAGAGTGAGAGACAGAGATAGAGAGAGAGAGAGAGAGAGAGAGAGAGAGCGAGAAAGGACGATAGCATAATATCAAGCGCCAGACACAGACAGTGTGCTGTCTACAGTCCAGGCAAGAATATGGGGCACACTGTGCCCAGTCACAGCTAAAGCTATGCAGACTCCAAATGTAGCGCATCTTTTTGATGAGCATCACAAGTTACACGCTCGGATTGTTGTCTCTGCTGCCTGTTGTCGTTGTTGTTGTGTTTGTTTTTGTTGATGTGTTATCCTTAAGCCACTTCCTTGTCGGAGCAGTAGGAGCCGATGCAAGTTTTTAATGCGTTGTGTGAATTGGCCTTGCCTGTTTTCCAGCTTGGGTATCTTAGAACAATTGATATTAATGGTATGTAACTGTGCACAAAAATCGACATATTCTGCGGTTATCTCGAAGATAGAAGCGCTAGAGAAGGTGTATCAAGAATATACCAATATAAGTATAAATTGCATCAATATTGCAGTAACGCATTTTTGGGAGGTACAGGGTATCTACTAGTCGCTGACAATTTGGAAAGCAAGTGTACAAGCAAATATTGAACCGATTGTTGCTAACATATAATAAAGCAATTCGATCTACTTTGTATATATTAATATGCCACAGCGACGCTTTTGCTTGCAGAGGGCACTCGTAAGACTTCTGGGTAAACAAAACGAATCAGATATAGATAGCATACCACATTTGCATACACAGTGCAAGTTATGCATTCAGGGTTTAACATTTGATATTTGCCAAGAATGTTGTCAGCATTCAAAGCATGCCGCTAACAAATGACCGGTCAAGTTTGATGTGTAAATGCCTCAAATGAGCCGTAAGCGAAGGCAACAAGAGGCAAATGCGAATGCAAAATAGTAAATGGAACTACAATGAAATGTAAAAATCATTTCAAATGGCATTCACAATTGCTAAAGGGGTCGCCCATTCGCATTTGTTCGGTTCGCTGCATTCGCTGACCTCGCCCATTCGAAACGATTTGCCTCAAGAGTTTGACTCACACAAAAGTCCGTTTCCGAAATCGTAGCTGAAAACAAGAAGTCAGCGAGTAGAGTAGCAAGCCTTTCTCAACTATCTAAATACGATAATACTTATGCTGTAACATTTTGTTTCAAGCCATTTGTACATGTAGCACGATTAATTGTAATTGTAATTTATGAAATTTTCGACGGCACCCGAGCTCAAAATGCTAATAACCGTTTCGCTACATTTGTAAAAGTTTGTTTGTGACCAAAAACTAGATAGCTAAACTTATAGCATTTTGAACTGCGCCCAAGCAGGGAACGAAATTCATTCAACGTAATAATTGAATTGCGGATTGAACGAAAAGTCTAATATGCATTTAACTGATTCAATGCTTTTACTTGCACAAATCCACCGAATAATGAACGCGAGCAGGAACCGAGAGCTGTACTCTATAATGTATGAATGTGCTCGGTGTGGACACGGAATAATCAGCGTTTGTAATCATATCCGATTATGGGAGATTCGAAAACTATGGATTTTACATTGGCGACCGAGCAGGTACTGAGAGTACAAACTGTCATTGTGAGTTGCAGCGAAGGATTATCAAAACAGCGCATTTACCGAATCAGCTTGGACGAGTCCCAAAAGAAAAATTATCGAGAGACATCGCTCATTATACATTGGCGCCCGAACAGCAACTGCAAGTACATACTTTACTTTTAGGTTACATTAAATTTGATGGATTAGGCATTATCAAAGCGAATCCTTACTTGTAAGTTACATAATCGAATATTTTCATTTAAAGTATAATTTAAGAGACCAAGAATTATCGTTGCAGCAAATTCACTGCATCAGCTTGGCAGCTTGGCAGCTTGGCTTGACAGAATTAGTTTAAGCGAGCCAGAAATAGTTAAATAAAAAAAATATATCGCTCATTATTCATTTGCGCCTTAGCAGGGACCGAGAGTACATTCTGTACTAATAAACAATACAGTCAATGATTCGTGTTTGTATATTAAAAAGTTAAGCTAATGAAAAATAAATTGCTACTTACATAGCCAATTCATGCGCTCCGTGTACTCAACCTTGCGCTTGAGATCCTTGACAAGGGCGCGAAAATCATCATCATTGAAATGACACTGGATGATCGTATTGTTCAACTGGAGAATGCTGTACTCATTGTTGCCATTGTTAGATGCCGCATCGGCAATGGCCTGCATAGCTTCCATGCGGCCACCGTTCAGCGCATTCGAGTTGCTTTCAATGTCGGTGGCGCTGGCGCGCAGCTTGTTGCCGACGGTTGTCGTCAGGCTGACATCGCCGTCCACATTGCTGCAGGACTTGCTCAGAATAATGGTGGCGCGATTTGCAATTGAATTGGCGGCCAGAAGATGCTCACCAGCGGCGCCGCAGCTGCCGCGATGAAAGGGCAGCTTGCCGGCTGTTGCCGCGGCCGCTGTGCAATTGTTGTTCTTCAGCGTGATGCAGTGCAGTTGATTGGAGAGTGCGGCTGCGGCCTGCACCGCTGAGCAGTCGCTGGCGCGACGCCGACGCGGGTTATCGGCATCCAGCGAGGGCTGCAGATAGGCGCGTGCCTGGTGCTGACTAGGAACGCCGACGCCGGTGCTGCTGCTGCTGGTGGGCAGCACAACAGCAATATCGCCGGCAACAGTTGCTGCCGCGCTGGCAGCTGCTGTTGATGCTGCATCGACCATGTTCGACATGGATGTGGACATGGTCAAGCTATGGCCGTTGCTGAAGCTGCTGTTGCTGCTGTTGCTGTTGCTGTTGTGGCCAATGTTGCTGCTGTTGTTGTTGCGGTTATTGATGCTGTTACTGTTGCTGTTGTTGTTGCTGCTGCTGCTGCTGTTATTGTTGTCGTTGTTGTTGTTGTTAAGGTTGTTTAGGTTGTCAGTGCAGGCGATTCGTCTGCGTATGACAGTCAGCTTGCTGCCACACTGATCCTGATCCTCGTACAACTGCACAAGCAGCTCCTCCAGCAGCGCTATGGGCGTGGCTGCCGTTAAGAGCGATGCAGATGTGCTGCTCGATCCGCTGGCGGATGCGCTTGCTGTTGCCGTTGCGGTAGCGGTTGCCGTTGCCGTTGCTGCACCACTAGCTGTGCTGCTTGCTGAAGACTTGCGTCGCACTGTTGCTGTCGCTGTTGCTGTTGTTGTGGTTGTGGTTGTGGTTGCTGTTGTTGCTGTCGCTGTGACAAATGCCAGCTCCTCGTCCTCCTCAGCGAAATCTGGATCTAGCTCCGATTCGTATGCCTGCTGCTGTTGTAGATGTAGCTGCTCTGCCTCGTCCTGTTGCTCCGGCTCAAAGCAGCTGCTGCTGCAGCTCTGACTGCGACTCACAATTGCCGCTGTTGCTGTTGCTGTTGTTGTTGTTGTTGCAGTTGCTGCTGTGGCTGCGCCAACGGCCGCCGCTGCCGCGGCCAGCAACAGCGCCCGTTCGCGCTCGCGTCCCGGAACGAATATCGAGTGCTTTAGCAATATCTCCTGCAGCTGGCGTCGCTGCCGCTGTGCACTGTACGGATTGACCAGGCGAAAGTCGCCGTAATACTTGGCCAGGCAGCGCACCCGGGATGCAATATATCCAATTTTGCGCAGCAGCCGTACATCGGCGTTTAGGGCAGCGGCGGCGCGTTGCGTTTGTTGCAGCTGCAACTGTTGCTGCCGTTGCTGTTGCTGCTGCTGTTGCTGCTGCTGTTGCTGCTGCTGTTGCTGCTGCTGTTGCTGCTGCTGTTGTAGCTGCTGTTGCTGCTGTTGTTGTCGTCGTGCGTCGCAGAACAGCGCGGCATGTCCGCAGCTGCTGCTGCTGTTGCTTAGGTTTGAGGATGGCAAGCGGGAGCCGTGCGCAGTGGTGCACTCAATATCTAAGTCGGCGTCGGTGTAGACGTCGTCGTCGTCGTCGTCGTCGCTGTTGTTGCTGCTGGCTGCGCTGTCGATTGCTGCGCTCGTTGCTGTTGTTGCTGTTGCTGATGTTGCTGTTGCTGCTGTTGTTGCTGCGGCGCTTGTTGCTGCTGTTATCAATGTGGTGGTTGTTGTTGTTGTTGTTGTTGCCTCGGCAGCGCCAACTTTAGCATCAGCTGTCGTTGTTATGGTTGTTGTTGTTATTATTGTCAGCGCCTCGAACGTGTCCTCGTCCCCAGTTTCTGCCGTCGCTGCTGCTGCTGCTGCTGATGCTGCCGCTGCTGCTGTTGTTGTTGCTGTTGCTGCACTGCCACGTCGACTACTGCTGCTGCAGCTGCTGTCCTGGTACATTTATAGGCAAACTTTGCGGCCGTTTTGTTGTTGTTGTTCCGTTTGTTGTTTTTTGTTTTGCTTTGTAGAGTTTCACGCGCGTTACACTCGCGTTTTGCGCGCGTTTTCGTTGGCTTCGACGTATTTTGTGTGTTGATTTATTTTTATTTTTATTTTTATGAATTTTGAGTACCGTTGCTTACATTGTCTATTATGTTTTTTTTTCTGCTATTTTTCATTTATTTATTACTTGTATTTGTATTGTTTTGGCGCCTTTTTATGCCCTTGGCTGCTGCTGCTGCTTATGTTGCTGGCGTGTCCGCTGCTGAAAATTATGCAAATTGTTGCTGCTATCTACACCGCGTATCCTGTGACTTCTGCTCGAATCAATTCAGTGGAAAAGTTGCCGCCACTTCGCGCGCTTCTCATTTCCATTTGGCATGCTTTCAACCACAGTATTCACACCCACACCCACGAACACCCGCCTCTCTCTCTCTCTCTTTCTCTTTCTTTCTCTCTCTCTCTCTATCTCTCTCACTTATTCTCTTACTCTTACTCTCGCTCTTGCTCTTTTTAGCTAGATTTGTTTCCAGCTGCTGCTGCCGTCGCCTGTGCTGTTGTTGCTGCTGCTGTTGTTGTTGCTGTTGCTGTTGTTGCTGTTGTTGTTGCTGTTGTTGCCGTGTTTTACATTTTATTGTATTTTAATTTGCATTGTTTTCAACTGTCGACTGACGACTATTTCTTTTTCTTCTCCCGACTCCCGACTCCCGACTTTTGAGTATCGGCTCCCGCTGCTGCTGCAGATGTCTGTTATTATCTTTGGCGTTAGCCAGCACTTGATTTCCGTTTCCGTTTTGAAATATTCATAAGCTCTTTGAGCTGCTGCTGCCAGTTGCTAGTTTTGTAGCTGCAATAAGAGCAAATGCATTCAAAATGGATTAGACTAGTCTTGAATATTGAATCAATAATCATCCTTATAAATATGATCATAATTATTTTTAATTAACAAGTGCATCTAATTGCATTAGTCATTAGACAATTCCGAATAAATCATGAGTCTCTTAGTTAGAATTTCCAGCCTCGGAAATTTAATACAATTAGGTTTTCTATCGAAACTGAGACCTGCTTGGTGTTTCGACGAATTGCCTTGGGAAATGGTATTTCGCAGAAAATCAAATCTTGAGAAATTTCTATTTTCTGAGAATTTTATGTGTATTTTATTTTGGACTCAAGCATTTAAGTAACTCGTGCTTACTATATTACATTGTTTTTAACTTTCTATATAAAATCTAATTTTGACACCAATGGAAATCAAGGACTTGCAGCAATTGCAACTTGGAAATTATATTTACTCTGGATATAAACGACCTTTTAACTGAATATTCAGAATCCAGACCAATGCACAGTGCCGAAAATTCCAATCACATAAGAAATCCTGTTCAAACTTAAAGAGCTACAGTTGTAATTTCAAAAATATATTCCAAAATATGCACAATTCTGGTTTATAAGGAAAGACTTGGTTGGATCTTCACGGTTTGATCTCCACATTAATAAGATAGATATGCCTGGCACATAATTTTCTTCTTAATTCTATACATATTTTTATAAGAATACTTTGCAAGAAAATCTGAAAGTATTGCAATCGGCTTTTAACAATTGAAAACCTTCAGAAGAATGAATAAAACTGCAAAATTTAAATCGAGCTGTCAAACCAATAAATTCAATGCTAGACAGTTATAAGATTGATGGTTTGGCAGGCTGATCAAATTGCCTAATCCGTATAATGAAACAAGGAAATCAACGAAGGAAATCAATCAGAAAAAGCCAGTACATTTTAAGACCGTACTTTACAGCACTGTTTTCTTCTTATCTATTTGTTCTCTTCTGTTTTGTAATAGTGCTGCACAACGTGTTATAGGTTCTTCGCTGGAGCAACTGTTGAAAGTTGAGCACACAAGGCTGCACACACGCCGGGCAGGTCTGTTTCCATATACGAGTACATATATTGGACTGGCCACCGAAGACAAAGGCGCTGCTGGCCATGGGCTCTGGACAAACAACGGCAGTTGCACAAAAGCAACGCAGGCGGTGGCAACAACAAAAACAACAACAACAACAACAATAGCAATAAAAACAATAACAAGAACAACAACAACATCAAATGTCGAGGACATTCACAATGACAGCAAATGTCAAACAGTAACTTCCCCATGGCGCATGGATCCAGTCTGTTAAGTGCAACTTACAAGCACACACATACACACACACACATACACACACACATATACACATACACACATGGTCAGCTGCAGTGTGGGTGAGGGGAGTGTTGTGTTCCAGCTCCTGTCCGCCCGACTGCCATCTTTGTTAGCAGCTCGTATGTCGGCAAGACAAAGCGATTTGGTGCAAGAATTTGCAGTTGGCACCAAAGCAAATACATGAATGCTTAGTGTTGCACGCTAGGGTATACACGACTGCCAGATGCCCTCTAGTAAGTAGGCGGATTAAATTTTTTGATATTTCTGTAAGAGGCATTTTTAAACCCAATCCCATTTCGCGAGTGTAGCTAACATTTCACCTGTTTTTTAGAAATATTCACGACTCCTAGATACCTCCGGTTACTGTAAGAGTTCAGAACGTGAAACAATTGAATATTACTATTGCAGGCATTTATATAAAACTTCTTTAGCTAATGTTTTGGAGGCGTAAGCTCAACTGATACAATACAATCTAAAACCAACTCTGAGGTTTTTGCTTAAAGCACATCAAAGCCATTTTCTAGCTCACACTAAATCATATACACCAGCTCCTTTAATCGCTTTGACTTCACTTAAGCAATTGATTAAATAGAACGTTTTTTGAATGGATAACCGGTTTATTGATTCAAGTTAATGTCCAATCTTGCTTTGCCGTCAATATGAGAGAATTCGAGCTATTTAATGAAGAAATGTGGCTGTTGGCATATTTAAGAGTCGACACCCTCGTGTGTGTGTTCTTGAATCAATTCATTTACTCATTCAATCAATCATTCATTAGAATCAGGCTCGTTATCACAATTCCTCAGGCACACTCAACTATCCAAGTGAAGAAATATTTGGATTGGCTTGAAATTCCGAACGCATTGCGAGCAGTTGACGTCGCATATTTTGCGGGAAACTGTTCGGATAAAAGGCAGAGGGAAGTGCCTGATTCCAATCCCTGTGCACATTGCGCTGGCATCCCAACAATGTCGGGCACTACGCGCGGTAGGCGACTGGCTGAGAGAGAGAGAAAAAAAAATGGGCCAATCAGCAGGTGAGTGGCGGTCAGGGTAGGGCAGGGCAGTGGTGGCCAGACAGATGAACAGACAGATAAATAGATAAATGGATGGAAGGCTCGATGGATGGATGAAAGGTTGGCAGGACACAAAGCAAGGGAGCAGGCAGGTGTCGCACATTTTGCCGTCATGTTTTGTTGTTGTTTATTTGTTGCTGGAAACTTGTTACATTTAATTATGGGCTATTTGTATAAAGCTCTTGAGCAAACACGTTCCGAATAGCATACACAGAGACAGAGAGAGAGAGAGAGAGAGAGAGAGTGAGAGACAGAGAGAGAGAGAGAGACAAGCGACAAAAGTGTCAATATTGAGCCGCAGGTGGCGCTGCTGTGTTGCCCGCCGCTGTCATATGGCTGACAAAACGCAAATGCAAACAGAAGCCGACGAGAACGCAAATGCGGCTTCGCATCCAAAAGCACGCTAACAACAACTACCCCAGACCAGCTCCCTAGCTGTGCCTGCCACCCTGCCGCATGCCCCCATGCCTACTGCCTCCTGTCAAAAACCAACTTATGCCCAGCTTCAACAGCCCCCCTGCCGCCCCCTCTGTCCCATTCCCTTCACCCTGGCAGACCAGACGACCTCAACGAATGTGGCCAACTGTTGAATGGTAACAATTTTGGGCGCTTGCCAAATTTGTGCTGCTGCTTTCGTTGTCGTACTTTGCATTTGATTTCTTATACCCTTGAACACATTGCAAATCGGCTTTATAGACTTGTGCGAACGTATGTAACATTCAGGCAGAGCCATCTCCGATCCCATAAAGTAGAGTCGATAAAGTCGAATGAGCCAAGTCTCGGGTTTATTTCCATGGATCGTTTTCATGCAATCGATAAGAATCGATATCGAATTCAGCATGTGTTAATGTTAATGCTTTTTGCAATTATTTTTAATGATGCCGCTTATTCGTTTACTCATTAAATGGAAAAAAAGGTACAGGCGAAAGCCCTGCAAATTTATATACGCATCTGTGTGTTTGTGTGCACATATTATTGCCTCAGCTTGCATGCATTAATGAGCCCAAAAACACATATACATTTTCTAGTTAAATCAACTTAATGCGCACATATGTGCAGCATCAGTTGGTATAATCGATGCTTTTCTCTTAATTATACGCTGAAACCATTGCAAACTCCATTAAAACTGGTTAGAAGGGGCTTAATTGGGCCTTCCATGGCCCGAGCGGATCAGGTTTCTTTGTTTTCGCTCCGGGGCTCATGTGTTTTTGGTAGAAGTTTCTAATGCAGCTCCTTGGGACTGGCCGTCTAGAAGACATCCAGTACCCAGAGCCGAGCTGCCGTAATAAACATTTTAGCTTACACACACGCACACACACACACACACACACACTTGCTGCAAGTTGCGCCAGAGGCAGTGCTTCTTCTTATTTTAGCTTTATAATAGGGAAAATGCGTTGCTCATTATTTTCGGTTTTTTTTTTCCACATTTTATGTTATTTTCAGGGCTTGAATATGGCGTTCGAAAAGTTTTCGTCTTTGCCATTAAATTTTAGTTTCTTGTAGTTTAAGGGCAAACCGGGAGAGGTATCCAAAGCGTGTCTATGTCCTATTTATAGGCTTAAAAAATGGCGAGTGTTTTTCGTGCATCATACGAGAGAATTTATATTCTATATTCCGATTTTCAAGTCTTTTCGATTTTCAAGTACTATGCCAAATTCAGAAAGTGTATTAATTTCTTCTTTTCATAATTATTATAATTATTGTTATTTTTTTTTTGGTATATATACATAGGTATATACATAGGTGAGCGTATATAAAAATACTTAGAATACGGAAGTCGCAGTGCCAATTAACAAATTTTACCAGCTGTCTCTTAAGATAAACACGAAGCCTATTTAAAGTTTGCGATAATTTCCGACTGCGCTTAAAGTGACGGAACGATTCACGCATTGATTGTTAAAAGCTACAAAGCATATGTTGAAAGCGTTAATTTCGCCTAAAGGTGACGGCTGGAGGGCGAGGGCGAGGGCGAGGGCGTGTCGGCCCTGGCAATGTGCAGGTGATTTAAATGCATCAATTGTGCAGCCTACTTTTAGGCAAAGCACCCGCATGAGCTAAACTCATATAAAAGCAACACTTTTGACACACTCAGACAAAAGCGAACATGGAATACCCTTAACTAAATATTATCGAAAGAGCTGAGCAAAATCTCATTCACATGAGAGAGACAGAGCGAGAGAGAGGACAGAAGAGTATGAGTAAGAAGGGGAAAGAATAGAGTAGAGATTGAGTAGAACGATAGTAAAGATAGAGGGCGAGAGAGATAATTTAAAGCCTAACCAATAAATGTGGCTAAATGGTGTGAAAGGCGTTTAAGCGTTACATGGTA